TTTTTTGCTATTCTGTTAATCCGTGTACTTCTCACAAAATATCTTATTCCTCCTTTTAATGAAAATTTAGTTTTAGTTATACAATTTTCCAAACTTCATGTAAAATCAACAATATTTCCAAATATATTTATTAATTTCCATTTCTGCAAATAACAGAATGTTAAAAATGACAACCAAATGCATCGAAATATGATAATTCATCAATCCCATGAATGCATCAAACCTAAGCTTATTATTGTCAAAAAATCCTGCACCGATAATACAGATGATCCGGCATATCTGCATTTTCAATTACACGCCATAAATAACAATGCTGTTATTTGATTGTGCCTGATTTACTTGTCAATTTGGTGTGTGGTTCGCATTATTGATAGAGCACATCGATCCGCATTAATATTTTACACGTGGAAAATGGTACCCGGATCACTGAAAGGGATTAAAACACACACACACACGCACATGACGTGACCATTTTCACGATTCGAACATATTACAAGACTAAATGATTCAGACGCACCAAAATAAACCTAAATGAAAAAAATAAACGCAGCGAGGAAATCTGAACGTCACTTCAGAATGCCACTGCTAATTAAACCTCATCGGAATACCGGAAATTGAAATTGGTTTTCTGGCGCGCTGCGTAATCTGTTCTGTTTTTTTTTTATTCATTTTATATTTTTTTTATTACGCTATATTCGTAAGATTGTTCTGTCTCTCACAGTGATTTTTGTGTAGCTCTCCGAACAAAAACCCAATTTATCAAACGTCGCGCTGCGGCTGAGTAAATTGCCCCGTTTTCATATCCACCTAAAAAATAAAATAAGAATGAAAAGCTCTTGAAAATAAATAAATAAAACGGACACCGAGAAAAGCTTCCTCGAAAATAATAACAGAAACGCGATTAATTATTAAATTCTTCTCTTACTAACATATTAACAGATAGGACAATAATAATACGAGTTTATTTAATTAAAATCTGCGTTGTGCGAAAATGTAGATAATACAATAGGTGCAATTCCTGCAAAAGTGCACCTTTCATTAGTTTCGTACAATATTTTCATATATATATATATTTCTCTCTTTTCATTCAAGTCAAGTTAAACAAAAGTTGGACGACTTTATTAAAAGCTGAAAGGGTCGGCAAGAACGGTTTAGGTGCACTACCTATGCCAACACTCACTCGTTCACTTAACGTGTACGTCAAGTAATTCACAAGAATATTTCGCTTCGGGATGTGGATGACGGCTCAAGCGCATTCCACTCATTACGAATCCCGAATGAATTAAATTTAAAGTCTAATGTGATTTGCTTCCACTCTGCATATACACTCAAATGCTGCTTTTTTCGTCTTTGCACATCTATCCAATCCGGACTTTTATTTGCTATATACTCATTCTGCAAAGAACCGAAAAGCGATTTAAATCATCAATAACAAACCGTCGATTTACATCAGCTAAATCGATTACTTAGTAAATTCGGTAAGTTAAAATGATTTGAAAACGTTTTGCGTTGAGTTAATTCTCATGAAAGTTAAGCAATGTGTTCCGGACAGGTTACGTAACTATGATAAATTATCAAAGTAACAAGACTGGAAACGTGTTCAATATTATTAAACCTTTGAAAAAAAATTTTTTTTTCAATTAAATCTAATTGAGTGTAAATTACACATATTAAAGAGACAAAAATTAGTAAATTTGGAAATTTAAAATGATATACAAAACGATTTTATCTCTAATTTTCATGAAATAGTTCATTTAATTAGGGTTAAGACACAAAATTGCAAAATATTTAATCTTCATGAAAGAGTTTATTGTCATGAAAACTAAATAGGCGTTAAATTACAAAATTATATTTTTTTTTAATCGTTTGGAAACAACACATATTATATGACAAGGAGAATAAAATTAATAAATCATCCAAACATTTTTTTACTATTCTATTTATTCTATTATTTTTTCTAATTACAAATATCAATACAATTAGATGTCGTATACAATGTTCTTTCTTTTGTTGATCACTCAAGCTATAAATAATAATTTTGCAACGTACACTCCAACATCATATGAATTCGACTAATTGTTTAAAATATAAATAATTTTTACTTTCATAATATTCAACTTACATAAGATTGTCAGCATATCAATTAAATATTTGTTTCATTTGAACTCACATCTAAATGATTTAATAATTTCAAAATCAGATTGACTGCAATTTAATGTTGATCAACTTAACACTCTAATTTTACTATGCACCCTCTGATTCTACACTTTTCACTCTGCCAAAATTTCACGAGATCTATTAACAATATATTTAAACTTATTAATTACAGCTCCTTCACCCTTAAGTCTTCCTTTATGCTACAAGCTACACAAAATATTTACCTACTAATTTGTGTAGAAGATCTAGGAGCTATTAGATCTTGTGGCTTAGAAATACTTAGATTTATTTTTCAGTAGGTTGGTCTTCCTCGTTAGATGTTAGATCTAATCTCCTTTTAACATTCCCTTTAAATCTTTTCCTTCCCTCTCGACCCTCGGAGAGAGATTCATCTCCTGGCGCAGCTTGGTTAGCTACAAAGAGGTTCCTTCCTTTTCTCTTAACTGCACGCCTCGGTGTAGAAGTTGGTGCAGGTGTAGAAGTTGGTGCAGGTGAGCAACTTGTGCTTAGTGAAGTTGATGTATTTGGCATACAATCCACATTCTCGTCATCTAATAATATGGTTGTAGTATCCAGCAACTTGGGATAAACGCGTTCAAGAGTATTAACGGTATCCATGATATAGACTAGAAGTATAAGCTTGAAATAATATCTGTGTTGTTAGTTTCGTTGTTAGAAGCTAACTGATGTTTCTGCACTGCAAATCAAGTTTATGCATCCCCGCCACCTATACAAAAAGGGTCGCAAGTTGAAAATCGCACGCAATAAACTTAGTCGGGTAACTTTCCCGGAATCCGAAATATTGTTGCAGCAGGTATCAAAATTTATGGGGCGACTAATAACCGAATGGTTGAGTCTCCCTACCCAAGTGCAAGTGGTCTCAGGTTCAAATCCTGGTCAAAATCTGGGCCCTTTGTGAGCCCTCTCTCTCGGTGCTTGCAGCAATAGGGTCATCAGAGATGGACAGTCAAATGAATGAGGTTTAGCATATGGACCTTTAGCCAAGTCGATGGACTATGACAGTGTTAAGGATAGCAGCAGATTCACAGTCAATGGAAATAGTGGAAAACATAGCATCAATATACTACTGAAGTTAACCTATAAGACGACAACCAACCAACAAATTATAAACTAATCATCAACCGCGATTTTAAATTTACTCAATGTTCACATTGATGAACAGATTGTAAATAAAATTACACGATATACAATTTGTATCAATTTGTTATTAAATAAATAAAATTTGCTGATATAAGAAGTTTGTGAGCTAATTGATTCGTTCCCTGTCAGTAATAGGGCCCCCAATTCCATGAGGATTTGAATGTTACACACCTATTTTTCAATATTTTGCATGAAGAATTAAATATAAAAAGCTCTGTGCAAAATGATTGCCGCATTTACTAACAATTGATGACAAACATATTCTCAGCGTCTATGGATTGTTTTAATAAAAATAAAACTGTTTTTTTTGTCGATTCATAACTATACATGAAACTTGGATTCATCACTCGGAAATCGAAACAATGGTTCAAGTGCACAAAAGAAACCAAAGACTGTTCCATCAGCAGGGAAGGTTATGATGGCTTCATTTTTTTGGAATTGAAAAGAAATTTAGATCTTGTGGCTAGAAATAATTAGATTTATTCTTCACTGCTGTATGTTATCGGTCGCTTCTTGGATATCTTTGTCAGAAGATTGATCTTCCTCGTTGGATGTCAGATTTAATCTCATTCTAACATTCACTTTAAACCCTTTTGTTCCCTCTCTATTCTCAGAGAGAGATTCATATTCTAGTGCAGCTTGGTTACCCCCAAAGAGGTTCCTCCTTCTTCTATTAAATACAAGCCTCGGTGTAGAAGTTGGTGCTAGTGAGCACCTTGTGCTAAGTGAGGTCGATCAATCTTCTGACGAAGATACCCAAGAAAGAACTATAAAGTCACCGACACGGATTATTTTGAAAATACTCCCAATGTATTAAGGAACCTGCCGAGTACATCGACCGCACTTAGCACAAGGTGCTCACCTGCACCAACTTTTACTATTAATAAATACCTGTGTGGTGTGTTGGATTAGTTAGAGGATCAATTGAACTTTCATATAGTTTTTGATCGACAAAATTAGGACATGCTTTGTGGAGGCATTTCAATATCTTCAGATCATCTTTAGCACTTATCAATACACTCACAAAAACCTTTAAATGGAATGATTCCACATTCATTGTCTTCAAATATTTTTTATACTTCAAGTGGCAATACCTATAATACGTCGGTTACTTTATAGTCTGACCATCTCCATTATGCAACTATAGGCAATTTTCACCGAACCCGAAATATTTTTGCGGCAGGTATTAAAATTTACAAAAAATCTTAAAAGAGAAAGTATTAGCAATAAACGAAGATTTATTTATTTAATCTTCTGTATCAATTTGTTATTAAATACATAAAATTTGTTTACATAATGTTGCTGAGATAAGAATTTTGTGAGCTGACTGCTGTTTTCTTACGGTAAATAGGATGTAATCACTTATTGAGAGCTTCCAGAATTTGCGAAGTTAAACTCGTACGTCCCTAGCGGCGCAGTTGTAAACTTCAAAAAGAATTTAAAGCAGATGAATCAACGAAAACTTTTCTTTTTACATATAAATTTCTTTATATATACTTTATTTACTTGCAACTTTTTACATAAACAAGAACTGATTAAACTTAACTCCAACTAATCTTATATAAACAACAAAAATATTTTTGTTATTCAGATATTTATTATTTTTCAATAATACTAATAATTTTGCACTGCTAATATTGAATCATTAATTTAATAATGTTAAGAAAAATTGATTTACTTACAATGGAAAATTCTTTTCATAGCCGTACGAGAGATTCGTGGGTCGTCATCCTGCAAAAGGAAATAGAAGTTATATCAAATTATCCAGTGTTAAAACGTGCATATTATATAATTTGAAGTCATACTTCGTTTTAAAAAAAAGAAAATGATAGTTTATTTCAGATTTTCATTAACTAATATTTAATTAAACGATTTGACAATATTGATATTGTTTTATGGTTAAATAGATTTAGGAAAATAGATTTTTCTAAACTTTCGTATGGTTATAATGAATAGTAAATGAAAATGGATGTTCCCCAGTAGAAATAGTTTGGTATTGTTTTTTCCGGAAAGAAGCGCAAACGAAATGGAAGTTCGGTTATTAAAGCTTTTTGCAGAAGTGTTCTCTGAAAGTTTGTAAAAGGTTGCAGCGAGCATCAAGCAGACAGCAACAGTCGCAGTCGTAGTAAATCGTAAACATATATATTACACATATCCTTAGGGAAATGGATAAAGAGAAGAAGAGAGAGATGTACACGTCCTGCTTTTTTTATTCTTCATCCTAAGTTAGATTGATTGGATCTGTCTTTTTAGCGCGATAAGATTATTTCTCAGAGTTACTCGACTGAAATGCGTGTTATATAGGACTCTTTATCACGCCCCGAAGCTCCGAAGGAAGATAAAATTCGATGCGCGATCGAGGGGAGGACCTCCAAGCTCATTTTTTCTCTTCCGCCCAACGGATACAAATTAACCACGAAGGGTCAGTTACGCAGACACTAAATCTCCAAACTCTAGAAATTTTTCTAATTAAATAAGCAGTTCAGCCGTAACATTCTTCAAGTTCTTATAAGAACATCGAATATCTATATTAAAATTTTACCCAAAAATGTAACACTAATGAATTAGATCCTTATTTACCGTAGGAAAACAGCAATCAGCTCACAAACTTCTTATCTCAACAACATTATGTAAACAAATTTTATTTACTTAATATAATTATATAGAATTTATTTTGCTCGACAAGCGAAATGCTCGTTAAGCGAGGTTTCACTGTACTTTCTCTTTTAAGAATTTTTGTAAATTTAGGAACCTGCCGCAAATACATTTCGGGTTTGGTGAAAGTTGCCCGACTAAATTTATTTTGTGCAATATCCAACTTGCGATGAGGGAGTTAATATTTTGGTATAAATATACAGTGGAACCTCGCATAACGAGCATTTCGCTTAACAAGCAAGATAAATTGTAAGAAAAGTGACTCGCAAAATGAAACGCATAATCGTATATTACATTAGTTTATATGGGGAAAATTGTTTCACTATACGAGTAAAAATCCGGAAATTTAGGAACGGATTAGCTCGTTAAGCGAGGTTCCACTGTACTTGTTTGCAGTGCAGAAACATCAGTTAGCTTCTAAGAACCAAACTTCAAGCTTATATTACAAGGAAATCAACATGCATATATTATGTGGGACTGAAGAATTTTTTTAGTGTGGCGCCGCGTATCGGAAGAGTGAGTAAGGAAATCCGTTGCATATCCTAGAATACTTTGTAAACAGTAATTTGGGGTGTTTGTTGTTGTTTGTTTTTTGTAATCTAATTGTATTGGATAGGGTAGATAGGATTGGATAACATAGACTGAAGCATTCTTGCATTTTTTCTAAGTAAATCTTTCTATATAAATATGTTTATTTACAATGGACCAAGTGATACTACTTTTAAAGAAAAATATAATAATGAATAACTGTACATTTGTTAATATGGATAATAAAATTATGTATGTATAAATTACCATTTGTCTAAACTAAATGCCAGGTTTATTAATTTCGATAAAATGTATCGATTTACAGTAACTTGCTTGCTTGCTGTGCGATATTTTCTTGAAATTTTCCAATTTTCTTGAATTGTAAGAATGAGAGCATTCATGTTTCTTGCATGCTTTACTTATGTTGTTTAGATCAGATTATCTGTATTTAGTCCAGTCACTGTTCTTAAGAAAACAAAATGTATGGATAACAGAAGATTTTTGATATTTTTTTTGAGACCGAATACTTAAGCTAATTGTACATATTTGGTGGTATTAAAAATATTTTGTGTATTTTGATCTGTCTAAGGAATCAAGGATCAATTCAAATGTCTACTGTCAACAACTAATTAATTTGAAGGTAGCAATCAAAGAAAAATGTCCAGAATTTGCAAATTGCGTTCCACCAAAACAATGCAAACCCACACACATCTTTGGTAATAAGAAGAACCTTGCACCATAATATTACCATTAATTTCAAAGGTTGCAAAATTCTTTGAATAATATAGCTTTCAATAAATACGACCTGAAATCGCACTTGGTTCAGTGTTTTGCTGATAAGAAAGAACCAGTAGTTCTATGAACAATAAACCATGAAGTTGCCATAAAGATGAAAAATGGGTAATATGTCAATATAATATGTGTGAGCATGTACAATTCAATATATTAATATTTTTGTCATTAATATAAAATGCAATTATATTACTGTTGTGGTGCTCACTCCAGCCCGTTTATATGACGTCACCTACAAGCCCGTTACGGTGAGCCCCACTCCAGCCCGCAGCTGGTATTCCAGGAAGGTCTGATAAGGGTACTACCTGGTTAGGGTATATAAGCTGCAACATATCTGAACCCGGCCTCTTCTCTTATATCCTGTCTTCTTTATTTTATGACCACCATAATCATTATAGACATCAATTTGTATATAATTAAAACAAATCAAAAATTTTATATTTAATATTAGAACAATATTTATTTGAACAATAACATAAAAAAAATAAAAACGCTTATAATAACGTAAATAATTAAATAAGAATTTGTATCATTTATTTTTATTAAATGAAAAATAATTTTACTTCCAAATGATTAATGATGTTTTAAAAAGTAAAGACAATTTTGGTGTATCCAATGTGAACGAAATAGACTGACATACTGTAGGGCAACTACCTGCATTTCTTTTTTTCGATTTTTTTGAGTGTGTTTGTAGGAAAAGCAACATAGTTGATACATACAAGAACTCTTAATGGAGAATAAGAGAATCGCAACAGAACTCGTAAAGTTTAATCTCCGGACTTAAAGGCGAAGCCGCCGGAAAGAAAGGAAATCGTTAATGTGAATTTAAGGATTCTATCCGTCAGGATGCAGGTTGTACATCGGGTGTTATGTGCACAGTTGGATGGGAATTCTGGGCGAGAATGATTTTAATAATAGAAAGATAACACGCCGGGATTTCCATTCATGTAATAATGTGCGTCTCTTTCACTGTATGTGTGTATGTGGTTGTGTGTGATTTGCGAGTTGGGTTTTAATGAAATCATTTTCTTTTTTTGCTTTTTTTCTTCCGCATTTCGCAACGGAGCGCGCGGATCCTCTCCCCAATCCCTTGTTATTCTCTCTCTGTTTCACTCACACTCCGTTTCCTCCTAGTTAGTAAAACGTGTGTTTGGGTTTCACGTTCCGTATACGTCCGCTCGCTCGTTCGTTCGTTGTCTGCACATTCTATTTGATAGAACAGGTTGAATTAGGTCTGCGGAATTATAGCTACATTCCACGAACTTTTACGTGTTTCCCTTCGCCATTTAGGGGATGTTCTTTTCACGAGCCAAATGGAAGACGCCGTTGCTTCTCCTTCTGGCAGCATTACACAAAACCGGAACTACCGTGGCTACTACAGCAAAGGCCAACTATTACCTCGTTCCAACTCTTTCTCTCTCTTTCTTCCGCTCGCACCGGATGAAGAATTGCCAATGCAAACAAAAAAACAGCATATAAATTAAACGTAATTCATTAACTTTGTTGCTTTCCCCCCATTGTTGTTATAATACGCGAAATGTTACACAAAACTCATTAAACGTCATGCAAATATAAAGCTCAGTGCGCCCCCAAACCATATTCTACATTATTTTATTTAATTGCTGGCTGTTTTTTAAATATATATATAATCTATATAATATATAAAATGTTTTGGAAATATAAATAATCACTTGTTTCATTTTATCTCTCGCAAAAGAAATATTTATAACAAAATGTAATTGTATAATCCTTAAAGTAAATATAAGAATAAACTTCGTTTGTAATGGTAGCCAAAATAGAAAATGAAAAAATTTATATTTCGAAACCTTTTAATTGAGCCATTAGGATAACTTAATTTATAATTTCTTGATATATTTTGTCGGATGATTTTCGGACTTTGATTTTAATTGGTATATCTTTTTATATTAAATAGTCATTATATCGAAGCTTTGTTATCTGAGGTAACATTAATCTAGGTCGTATCAAGTCATGATTTCATTCTATTAAGCTACACAGCCATAAATATATCATAACATATTTTCTATCAGGGTCTATCAAAGGTCCAAATAACCATACGTGCAGAAGAATCAATTTCGACTAGCCAGAAGACAATCAAAGAATGGTAACTAGGACTATCTGCAAGAAAAGGATCGTTAAAAAACAAAAAGTATACACACGGTATACATTACAAAAAGGTCACAACTGTCCAGACGAAGCTGGAAATAATGAATAAGATGTTGAAACATCTCAAAGAGGTTGAAGTAGTGCTGGTATCGAAGAAAATATAATTTATTTTATTAATGTTTATGTGTTATATACGTATGCATGTCTTTATTGTATATTGTATATATTATTTATTGAATAAAACTGTACAAATATTTAAGAACAAGAAACTATTTTTTATTTCTAATTACCAAAAACGGTATGAGTACTTAGAACAACTATAATTTCGTTGATTCCAAATATCTAGTTCGTGTGGTAAATCTTCCAAGAAGGGAGTTTTATGATGATGTGGAAGCTGCGCATTTAAACTGTTAACTAATACCATTGTCTTTATTTGTCTAAAATATATTGGACCTTACAAATTGCACGCTACAACAGAATACTAAAAGCTTTCCGACACCAATAATTATTTTCCTTTGGGTTTTTCCTTAACTGAAAAGAAAACAGTTTTTATATATCTTTGACATTATAATGACCTTTTAATGTACAATATTTACAGAAAACTTGGGGAGTGCTTTATTGCTTTATATGTT